GTGGGCGTGCGGCGGCGGCCAGCGCGGCCCCTGGAGCTGGACAGCGGCGGGGAGGAGGACGAGAAGGAGTCCTTGTCGGTGTCTTCGTCCTCGTCGGCGTCCTCCACTTCCGGGTCTTCCACGTCTTCGCCCTCTTCCTCAACGTCAGACAAAGAGGAGGGGCGGGAGAGCACGGAGGAGGAGGCGGAGGAGGAGGAGGAGGAGCAGGAGCAGCAGCGCGGCCCCCGGAGCCAGGTGTCCTCCTCCTCGGTGACCTCCCAGTCGCAGAAGGTGCAGGGCAGGAGCAGGCGACAGGGAGGTGCTGGGCCAGCTGGAGGGGTGGCCTGTGGCTTACGCGTCCTGCTGTGCTGTCCCCAGGGTGATGAAGACAGTGATGATCAGGAAGAGTCTGAGAACGATGACGAAGGTGAAACTGTGCTGTCAGAGGCAAGTGAGAAGGAGGAGGTGGACTCAGATGCAGGTGAGCAACAGGGACCAGGTGGGGTGGGACGACAGGTGGGACTTGAGACACACCGCATTCAAAGGATGGCCGGCTTGGCCGCGTCCTGGAGACAGCAGGTGGGAGGGTGCCTGGGGCTGGGGCAGTGGGTTAGAGGAGCTGCTGAGGGCTGGAACTAGGGGGCAGTAAGAACATACTGAACGCCACCAGCATTGTTCACTTAATATGAACATCGTGGCCGGCTGGGGTAGTGCACACCTGTAATCCCAGCACTTCGGAGGCTGAGGCAGGAAGATCACAAGTTCAAGGGCAGCCTGGGTAACTTAGTGAGACCCTGTCTCAAATGGAAAAATAAGCTGGGGATTTAGCTCAGTGATACCGTTCCTATCTGGCAAGTACAAGGTTCTGAGTCCCATCCCTGGTGCAAAACAAAAGAAAAATTAAAAAGGGCTGAGGATGTAGCTCAGTGTGAAAGCCTTGGATCCATGGTGGTGAACCTTTGGCCCCATGCTGCAGCAGGCTGTTTGTATCACTGTGCCAGAGAAGAAAGAAAAAAACCAGTTAGCACTTGCCACAGGCCCCCACTCTGTCTGAGGGCTGTGCTCAGCCAGGTCCCCCAAGGGTGAGGTTCTGGGGAGGCCCTGGGCGCGGGGCTGGACCTCAGGTGGTGATAGGTTCCTTGCTGTGTCCCAACATCCAGAGGAGACAGTAAGCATCATCACGTCCAAGGCCGGCGCCGAGTCCTCCAGCGAGAGTTCTGAGTCGTCAGAGTTCGGGTCCAGCTCTGAGTCCTCATCCGAGTCCTCGGAGGATGAACAGGAGATGGCAGCGGAGGACGAGGAGGAGGAGGAAGAAGAGGAGGAGGAAGAGGAAGCGGCGGCGGCAGCTGTGGTGGCAGTGACAGAGGAGATGGTGCCTCCAGCAGGCGCTGAGGAAGCTGAGCCGGGCAGGGAGGAGGCCACACTGGCCCCGGGGGGACCTGTGACAGAGCCACTGGACACCGAGGGAGAGGTGGACATTGAGGCTGAGGATGCAGCCCCAGGGGGGCGGACCCCTGTCCAGGAGGAGCCCCCTGTGCCTGTGGCTGCCGAGGCGCTAGTGGGGTCTGAGGAGCCCCCTGAAGAGCCAGGCCCCAGCCAGGAAGCAAAGATGCTGATGTCACCAGAGCCCCCTCCGAAGGATGCAGAGGTGCCTCTCCCTGTGTCTCCGGAACGAGTATCAGGTAGGCCTGTGACCTCTCGGGGAGTGGACGGGCGGGTGCCTTGCCGTCAGAAGTGAGTTCCCCTGCATTGGCATCCGTGGCACGCACCTTGCCTGTCCATTGAGCTGGCACTGAGCCTGGCATTGGGATTTGAGCCGCAGGGACCGGGGAGATATTTACAAAGGGGCTGTTTTGGGGTGTAGGGCCCCCTGCCCCAGCTGCACAAAGCCAAGGAAGCCTCTGATGGTGCTGACAGTGTGGCCTCCGTGCTCCCGAGGTTGTAGCCAGAGCCGTGGGGAACCCGTCCATTTTAATTTAGGTAGCCAGGTGGGGCTGTACCCACGTTTCCTAAGTCCTTCAAGAGAAAAAGCTAGTACATTTTGTTTATTATATTGTGTGTGTGTGTGTGTGTGTGTGTGTGTGTGTGTGTGCGTGTGTGTGTTTCTTTTTAATTTTGGTACTGGGGATCAAACTCAGGACCTTGTGCTTGTGAGGGAAGCACTGGATCCACTGAGCTAAATCCCCTGCCCCTATTATTAGTAACTCAGTAAGGTTCTGTTGGTCCCCAGTACTATTTTAGGTACGAACAATACAGCAGTGGACCAAGCAGACAAAAAATAGCTGTTCTGATGAAGCGTATACACAGTGAGGGCCAGGCGTGGTGGTGCACGCCTGTATTCCCAGCACTTGAGAGGCAGAGGCAGGAGGGTTGGCTCAGGTTTGAGGCCAGCCCAGGCTATATAGTGAGTTCAAGGCCAGCCTGAACTACATAGTGAGATCATGTTGCCAAAAAGAGAAAGAAGAAGAAACACTCAGAGAAAGGCTGAGAACCTTGTCTCTGGTGTCCTTGATTTACCCACCAACGTTCATGAAATGCCTGCTGTGTGCTTGACTCCTGGCTGCTGCTGAGCAGTCTTCGCTTGGGTTACCTGGGGGTGATGTCTGTCCTCACAGAGCTGGGGCTCAGGTACAGAGCACGCAGTAGGGCAGCAGTCTAGGGCACCGTGTGTTTGCACCCAGTAACCTGGTCTATTCTCGCTCATCTCTCTGCAGAGCAAGACCTGGAAGCGGAGCCCGAGCCCCCACTAGTGCCGTCCCTGCCCCCACAGCCACCCTTGCCACCGCCCCGGCCACCCCGGCCACCCAGCCCACCCCCGGAACCTGAGACCCCAGA